AAGAGACATGGGCGAACCGGCGGCGGGCAGAGGGCGGGCGAGAGCGAAGCCACTTCGCCCACGAGCCGCCTCCACGAGAATCCCCGGTGGCAGGAACAGGCAGGCAGATTGACCCTGGCTGCGCTTGCGGCCTCGCACTTCTTGGGCGCGGCGGCTGAATGTTTGTGCATAAAAACCACGCTTCGTCTCCCCTCGCACAGCGAGCCTGCTGTCTGCTGGCGCCATATATCACTCGGAGCCATCCTCACACGCGCTCTCGCATAGGCGAGCGTTTTCACGAGTTCCGCTGAATAACACGCGGAAAGAGAGAGAGAGAGAGACTTGTTGAGCACCTGAAGGTCGTTGGTAGGATTGGATCAAGTGGATAGAAAGGCAAAACGATGCCAATTTGATGATAGCATCAGATATTAAAAAAAAGCCATCGCGAGCTACTTGAAGTTCGAAACGAAGTTGGGTTTTTTGTTCGGATCTAGAATGTGACAGTGTGTGACCGCGTATGTACACCTTACTGTGATCTTAGCCATACGTAATGACACAAAAGAGGCATATAGTAGATTTCCAATATAATGATAATATACTTGAAGTAATTAGGCTGTAATTATCCACATTTAAAGTCGCTTTAGCAGATCATCAAAAACCACTCAAACGGAAAAGGCGTACCACAAATTTTATGACTGCAAAAGTGTGTCTGCCGATGCACTGAACAAAGCATTCTTTCCCATATAGCATGCCCTCGGTGGACGCAACCCTACATCATAGAGGGAATCTGTACGCGAATCTCAGCAGAAAGTTGCAGCTAGGTGTCAGTTGCTGTCTAACCTAGTACGTGGCTCATAACCCGGGGGAGAAATAAACGGTACCGTCTCCGAGCCCAGTTTGTCGGTCCATCATTCCTGTGAGCAAGCCTTTAGCCAGTAGCAGTTCGTTAATGAGTTGATAGGCACGAGTCAGCTGCTCCAGTTAGTCTTGTAATGGGCTACTATCAACAAACTTTTTCTCTTTCAAAGTTTTCCTTCAGACAAGCGGTACTTCCACCAAAACACACTGGTCTCACGCTGTCGCAATAGCGGTTGGCGTAGCAACAACAGCAATAATACAGGCGGAATATCAATACAATTTAAAAAAAAAATGCGCATCGTAATGTAACATTTCTCGTTGCCATAAACGTGTTAGCCGACATTAAGCGGCCGTCCCCAGTTCTCGCGTCGGTCCTTATCGATTCCCTTTGTTTGACAGATTTAACTTACACCCTTTTTGTCAGTTAGTCGCTTCTCGTTTTGACGTATTTTGTCATGACAGCAAACTGTTCTAAATAAGCACTCTTCACGCCGCGTAACATCGTACAAGGGGGCGGGGGTATAGTCGCCGCCACCAGCGATGACGGTGTCAGTGATGAAGTGGTCTTGCGGCAGTAGCCAAACCCGCTTGCGCTGCTGTTGACCATAAAATGATGAGAGGACAACACGATAATTGCACGTAAAGGGAGCTAGTCATAGCGAAACTAAGTGATGCTTTGGAGAAGCCAAGGGGATAGAAGGAAGAGACAAAATAAAGACGTAGCAAAGTATTAGCTTGCGTAGTCGGCGGACGTCTTCTGTAGCTTGAGGCAGTATAGCTTAGTGTACGAGGTCGCCACTGCCGTCGAGGAAACCCGCGGCTGGGGGCAGAGGAGTTGGCGGTCGCCAGACCTGGATTTGAATGACGTGATGATGATGGAAAGACTATCCCTCCACGAGATAGGATAGGAGGATGAAATGGCCAGCGACAACGGCCGAGCAGCGCAAGCGATGAGCCAGACTGACAAGACCGGACACAGTGGCCAGTCGGCTTGAGACACGAACGCAGAGCTTCGTCTCCAGTCGTCACATGGTCCTGCATATATGTGCGCAGGTCGGTCAGACGATGCGTTTCGATATCATCAGTGTAGACATGATCACAGGCTGGTAGGCACACAAGCACGTGGATACTGCAGCAGATGACTAAAGGACCAGATAAAAAGGCAGAGGGTCGATGCCACCCATCAGAATCACGCAGATCATAGTTACATTAGATGCAGTGTACGGAAAAGCAAAAAAAAAAAACATTCTTGGACAAAAAGCTATCTTAGGAAGGGAGCTTGTCACGGCCAGGTGCTAGGTAAATTATCAGCTCGTCGATTTAATATGCGTTATTGTACAACATAATCTCAAATATGACTGTAACGGTTGTGGGCAGTGTTGACAGGAACTTTTCATGAATATCTGTAACTTCAATAACGTCCCGTAAAGTACATTAGGCTTACATTCCCGTTCATGTTTGCCGCAGTTACCAAAGCGTGTAGGATCGCGTGATTGAAAGATAGCGCTAGTAGATGATATCTATAGTATGAGGTCCAACTTAAAAATTAGGACTCACATGTTAGATCGTACTACTTACTACATACCAACGCCTTGACTACACTAATGATTTCCGCATGTAAGGGGACGTAAAGCGAAGCCTACCAAGGCAAGAGAACCCCCTAGAGCTGACGAATGAAAAAGGAAATGTTGGCAGGATAATGGCCACAGCTCAGACTAAAGAGCTTACAGAATGGATGGTGATCGTAACGGAAGCTATCGACAGTTCATCTCAACATGTGCGGCTTTTTTATGCAAAATCTTCTTGGACAGGCCACACACGAAACGCCGATCATGCGTTCCAATGTTTAATTACGATATACTGTTAATATATTCGATGCTATATTTGCGCGTAACTTCAGAGTTTGCTTTACAAAACGTGCCATGCTAGGTCTAAGGTGTTGGGCTGGCGGAAGAATAAATGTATACTTTTTGTGGTATTGTCGCCCCGGTAAGTCTCGTAACGTTCATGTCGGCCTGATTAAGTTATGTGCACCCATAAAATGCATTATTACTGATGCTTCCCTCGTAGATCCTTTTCTCTGTTGGCAACTGCTACCCTTTATTACGTGCATAGCTTGGAGACGTTTTCCTGACTGATAATCAGTGCCTCTCAGACGAATCGTACAAGATAGCTAGGCCTTTCCGACTCGCTTCAGACATTCCGTGGCTCGACGAAAGTGTGTACCAATGCTATAACGACCGCTCGTATAACATGTCTTAAATAGTAGCTGTCGATGAAGATAAGTTACGTATCGCACGGCTATCAGAGGAGGACATGATGGTATAGGGTTGTCGATTTTCCTGTTCGTGCTGCGATGAGCTTGCATAATGGACTCGCACAAGTTATGTTAACTAATAAATAAATAAACGTCTTTTCGCTGCTGCTGCTGCTGTTGTTGATGCGGTGACGGCCAACGTGTTATTGCTCTCCCACCGTTCTCCAAAAATGCTGCCTGTTACCGATGCTGTTTTATTACTAGTGTTAACAGCAGTAGCAGCAGCAGGCTGTGGTTCGGAAATACATGGCGCAACAGATTTTTCGACCTATGAAAATGGGGTCGTCCTATTTTCATGTAGCGCCCATGTAGCTGTGTCGGGCTACACGGTCGTCTGACAACGTAATGCGATATCCGGCCTGATGATAGTAAGGTAGACAAATAATTAGCCGACGTCCAATTTACTCGTTGCCGTTAAGTACCTTCACCATGTGTGTATTTTTCAAAATTACGATTGCAGTATGTGTTATTTGAAATCCACCTGTTTGAATAGTTGTATAGGAAACAATGCCAAGGTTATAAAACATAAGTTAGCCGAGGTTTAGTTAAAGTTGTAACAAGTTAAACCTCCATAATTTAATGCGCCGTATTGGTCTAAACGACTAACTAGTTATAAGGCAATATTTTCAGTTGTCATTGTAAGTCTTTACCCTGAAACAATCATTTCAACTTAGATAGGAGAAAGCTTGTAGAACTTTTCACTCTTCGGGTTAGTTCAATTTGAAAATGCTTTGGTCATTATCGTTTTCGTCGTTATCTATCTCCTCCCTTGATATTCTACTGCTCTCATCCACCCGATATCGTCGGGTGACCCGTGCGCCGATCAACTCACCATAATTGATAGCCGCCGGTATCCGCTAATGAAATTTTATACACTTTATCATAGTTGCGTCATGGCCTGTTTCACTAGCATCTCCTGCTATAGAGTTTTTGCCAGACACGACGAGAGGCAGTCAACGCCTTTCAATCAAGTAATACTGTGTTAGAGAGAATAGAGAAGACCGTCTCATTTGCCCTGTGGGCATATATATATATATACGAACGAGATTTGTCGAACGAGAAATGAAAAACTCGACTTTTCTATAATACGCAGTGGAAGTCGAACAGTGGCCGGTTGACGCTGTTGTCTGATCTATTCGCTTACTACAGAGTGAGACAGCCTAGACGAACATCATAACTCTGTCGCTGGTTAGTCAGACGTGAGACTACAAGCTACGACAGCTAGTCTATAATAGAGGTCCTCAATGCTCAACCATCCCAACGAGACAGACAATCAAATAGTAATTATAGCACGAGAGGCAGCTCCGCCTCTTGTTGGGGACCACAAACGCTGATAGGGAGGTACAGGCTATGTTGGTACATTGTGCTTAACTGTGAAGCGCCCTGCAACGCTGATCACCAGAGACATTTTTGGCTTCGTCCGACTCAGAAACGTTACCCCGACCCAAAGATCTGAAATGACTTTTGATCGAATCCCGAACTGTCGCTCAATAGACCGGTGTGGAATCGCGTTGACCGATCGGCGTGATCCTGTGTTGAGTTGTCAATTGTACGTAAATTGTAGCATGCGAGAGTTGAAGGGAAGATTTCTCGCTCAGTGCACTTTGTGCGAAAATCTATGACATATATTGCTAGTTCTTGTGGTAACGGCTCATACATTCTATACAAATATCAAAGAACAATAATCATAATGGTAATAATGATTGTTAGCAATACGATCCTGAGATTAGGGCCGACACTTTTGTTAACCCTAATTTCATCAACCATGATACCTGTATGTATGGTTCAGCGTATTTGCTAGATGAATTTTATCCAACTTTTATCCGATGCATAATATCTATTTCAGGTGCTGTTTATCTTATGCGCTCCATCTGAGGTACCCTGAGGAAGCTGTCGATAATGACACATCCGATGAGTTGGAGGCGAGAACCTCGCGAGCTCAGTGGTGAGATTCGCGATGGCTAGCACAGTTCCAGATGAAAGAGGCCGCAGGTAGACCCAAGGTAAATAGAGAGCTAGAATAATTACAGCAAAGCTGAATGTTAACGGGAAAACGGTAACAATTAGTTTGACCTAGTCTAACCTATAACAGATGTGACGTGTTCAGTGTATGTTATCCATTCACCAAAGCATGGCCGTCACCACTGAGGTTATTTAGGTACAAACTGCATAATCTGTATCCCAAGTTTCCACCTATAGCATGTGGTTAAATGGTCATAGTTGTCGTTTCAAATACGATGGCGGATATGCCCTGCGACTTCCCTTCCAGCCTATTTCCTTTTTTCTCTCTCTCTCTCTCTCTCTCTCTCTCTCTCTCTCTCGAGTTCTTTTCCCTTTTTCTCTTTCGTTGCCTTCGCTATTACACAAAGGGACTCACATCGACGATGGTCATACGTCCAGTTGAGTCAGAGAGACGACTAAAAAGGTTGAGCCCAAAGCATCTATCTTTAATCCCGAGTCGCTTCTACTCAGCTTTGGAGACATTCCTGGACAAGCTGGACGCGTCCTTTCCTATTCTGCAACAGACGGGACATCTGGGGGTCTAAGGAGAGGACGGGTAGAGGGTCAGGTCGGCAGGCCCGCTAAACCTTGCTAACGCCACCCGATTTCAACCGAAAAAAGCACCATAGCTGCCAAGTGGGAAGGACAAGCGTCGATATTTCTTAGACGGCTTTAAGGTGTTTGCTGCTGCTGCTGCTGCAACTGCGGCCGTGGGCACTGTCGCTGCTGCTTGTGCGGACCTAAAAAGCGCCATCGTGTAGTCGAGATCGGCGGCGCCGTAACACTCTACGGTTGGTCTGAACCGGTGGGCTATCCAACCTGCAGGGATTTGGTCATTTTGCCCCTTGAAGTTCCCAGCTTAGGCTCACCCACAGTCCGCTGGGAACACGGAGAAAGTTTCCCCTCTACGACTCTGCTTCTAACGGTCTTGAACAGACCAGATGTCGGGAGCTCGACCTAGAGATCGAGCGATTACAAGGCTTCCGAACAGACGAAGCAAGGCGAACGACAAAAAAATAGCAGGCATATATATATACACATGTGTAGATGAAGAAAGTGCTCAAGCAAGCCTTGCTGAATGACAAAAAAGAGACAATTTCGTTATAAAATGCTTATGCTTGCCCCTTGTTACCAACAAAAACGGTGACAAAAGGTAAGTTATTGCTGATGTAGCTGAACCTTAATGCCGACAAGGGCCTTATGTGTTTTTATTATTGACCTGATTGCATAAGTCTATTATTAGTACCTCTGTTATTATAGATTCGACCTTAATTCTGGCCAAGTTGTAGCGAACCATAGATTTTACTGTCCTTAACTGCATATCGAAAATGCTTAAGGTCAAATTCAGGTTGTTTTCCAAACCAAATCCAGCGTATACCGTTCAGTAGAAATATTCAATTGGTAACAAGTCCAAGTCTGGTACCAGGGCTACGTTTATATTCCCTGTCTATTTTTTTGTTCGTTTTTTCAAGCTTTTAATTTAGTATTGTTGATCCGTGGCCATGATACTATTTCTGTTTTGCCGGTTCGTTCGTAAGCAATCGTTAACTACAGTTATGGCTTCGGAACATCGAGAACATTCTCAACCTTCAGCGGCAACCCTACGTGGCTGAACACCGATAGTAGGTCCGTTTACGCCATGGGGCAGAGTCGACAGAGGGGCGGTTCGTCGGCTTTGCTTACAATGAATGAAGCTGCAGCAGCATCTATGGTAAGGTGGTGCGGCGAAGCAGGACCAGGCAAATGGCAGGTCGAGCTGCAGGCGAAGTCAGATGGCCTACAGGCTACCGCCTTCGTTCATAAAAGTGAGCAAATACCCACAAGGCATAACAACTTGTAGGCAGAGCCGGCCGTCTCAACTTTTCCTTCGCCGTCTTCTGTAGAATGAAGACAGGCGGGTAGTTGACTCCTCCAGTTCCCGTTTCCTAAACCAGCCAAGTCCAGGAGGAGGAAAAGGAAGACGAAAACTAGGCAGCAAACGACGAAGGGAGCGAGCCCGCTGGTAGGCTTTGGACCACGGCCGCTTATCGCGGGCAGGCGCTATGCTAGTACTAGTAAAAGCAGCCGCACTAGCACTCGGGGTGTCCGTTCCGCCTTACAAGCCCTGCAGTTCTTCTGGTGCAATACACGACTTTCTTCACTAGTGCGCAACATCCAGCGCGTCGATAGCGCATCTCGCGTTGCTTTCGTCCTTAGTCGTAGCGAGGAGGGGATGGCTAGCCGCCTGTTCAATACGACTTCTTAGCTTCGTTGACTACCCCCCTTCCCGAAGGCCTTCCTCTCACTTCGACAGCCCTTGCTTTCTTTCCAACCCTCTGGTAGCGCCTATTGCCGCTACAACTACCGGAAGGTAGAATTGTGAGTGTGCCAGGAAGCGCTCATTGATCCATTGAGACGCATCCAGGGGGAATTCTCTAAAGTTCACCTCTTAATCTCTACCGCATTGCTGCTTTCGCCGTTTTCGTTCCCCCCACTTTTCCAAGCCAGCCAGATCGGTGGGGCTGCGCGGATGTACCGTCTCCCGAAAGTCGAAATCCTTGCGACGACGAAACGATGAACTGAAGTGAGTGTGCGTCGTTTCAACAAAAACTAACTGGCGTAAAAAAACTTTAAAAAGTCGTAATTTGTATCATATTTGACGATGATGATAGCAGCACTGGTGATGCTTTCTGTGACGGCGAGAGCAGTTCTTTTTTCTATAGGCGGCGTTTAGGTATCTGTCAGCGCTCTTTTCCCGCCGATATAGTGGTCGTGGCCGGCACTTTCCTATGCTTGTTCGCCCCCATCCAAGCTCAGAGGATGATGGTTATAGAGGCAAAACGTGAGTTGTTGCAGCAGTTAGAGTGCCTCGAAGGAGAGAAAGCTCTAAGGAGAATTTCGAGTCCCAGAAGCAGCAGCTTGACGACGGTAGTAGCCTTCTCACCGTTCCTTTCGTTTCTTCTAAAATGAGAGATTTACGAATCAAAAGGGGAATGCGAATTGTGTTCAAGCAAGGTGTCGGTCTCGTTGTCGGTCCTAAGGGTCAACCGAACTGGGGTCTACGAGATATCCAGCCGTCGATCGCTAGAAGCTTCTCTTTTTTGGGACTGAAGATATGTCCATTGTTAACTTTGCTGTAAACTTCTCTGGCTGGCCACACTAATGTCGACCGTTGCCGAATCCCCAAAAAAAAAAGCGTGGGCTTTGATCGGGTCAAGTTGAAGACGTAACAGTCGTAATGGATCAAGTGCCATATTTTACGATATCAGGATGGCATCGTACGGACCATACTTATTCTTGTAGGCCTACGTTGGTTCTACCACGCTCTTGATTGGTTCTCATTCAGTTCCGTCACGATCAGCATAGCGGAAGATGTCTGGTGCGCCAACATGGCGCCATACGTTCAGAGCTTTAGAGAACTGTACAACAGAAAGCACCGTATGATGCGACGACGCCAGTAAGTTGGCATCACGAGCAACATTGCGCTCGCAAGCGGCAATGCATTTTCGAATCACCTATCTTACACGCCATTGTTATTGACGTTATCTAACGGGCTCGAAGCGGAACTAGCAAAAGGCCTGCTGCTGCGGTTGGCTGGCGATGACGCCTGTTTTGGAGACGACTATAACAGTTGCGGTGACGCTGTTCTGTGCGATGAGGATGGGGATGCGTTATGAAACAACGGCCGCACGTGTGGCTACCGACCGACCTGACTCAGTCGCTATTACCCCAGCAACCCTGCTGCCTGCCTCTGCTGCTTAATCGAATTAACGACTGCGGTCGGACCGCTTGCTCATTTTCGCTGATGTGCATATGAGTCTTTCTTTTCACTTCCACTGTACCTCTTGTTTCCGTCCCGTTCGCGGCTTTCGCAGACCGTCGTCGCCGCTGCTTACAGAACACCAACCGTCTAAGCAGTGGCTTCGCCATGCTGTTGTCGCGGCCGTTCCCATCGGTACTTTCTCAACAACAATCCGTACTGCTGCTATCCACCGCATTCGCGTAGCCAAGGGATAGACGCGTGCTCTTAACTCATTCGAGTGCAGTGTCCAACGTATCCGTGCACACTCTCTTCTTTGCATTGCCGCAATGACGTATTTCCTCGTTATGACGGTAGTCGATTTGTCGTATGCCACGAAATGGGCGCCTACATGCCCCCTGTACCCCTTGCGACCGTTACACGCTCGAAGTGCATAGACAGAGCGGACGCTATTGGGTGACTACGACCGCTTCTTGAGGGATTTTTTGAGCCGTATAGTTCCGTTCGTCAGATACCCGAAGCACGATCCAGAACAGACTGTATGACAACCGCCAACAGGTGCTGGAATCGATGGTCAACTGTGCGAAGCTTTGATATCGTTCTGTTTACAGTCATCTATGGTACCGTGTTTACTAGTCTGTATTCGTATGTGTGGCTAATAATCCAATGCAGTGTGATAAAGATCCCAGTGTAACTGTCTACAAATGGTACTATTGTTCGTAGCGGGCTATGTGGGGCAGTAGTGCGTGCAGTCGGCCTAGTTGATGCACGAATCGTGTTATTCGAATTTTCTATTTGTTGCGGCATCGTGGTTTAACTGCACTACTCTTCTTTTCTAGACCATGGACGCGTGTAACGAGCCTGCACCCTAACGAACATTGACACCTAACATCAGCTCTGAGCTCTAGACTATTGCAGACGATTTCGATAACAAATTTAACCAGTTTACTCTCATTCGGTGAGTGGTACATGGTAGTCGTTGAGTCAATGCTTTTCCACTCGTAGTGCTTTGTGCCTTTGAGATAACGCGACTAATCGTCATACTCTGTTTACGATTGAGCGGAGTTTCATTGAGAAGGCGAGCGAGAGGACGAGACCATGCATAGCTGGGCTTCTCGCTGTGCGGCATTAATTCAGCGCATCATTGCTTCTTCTACTGCTACTGCAGCTGTTGTTGTTCTTCTCATTCTTGGTACTGCTATCGTTTGGGTGCTGCTTCTGATGTCGTTGGCTGGCTGGCGTGGCTGTTGTTATGCAATATAA